CTTTTTCCACATTATTTTCACAAAATAAGTTATCTTTCACCATAATTTCTGTTGATAAATAATTACTCTTTACAATGCATACAATAATACACATAACTATTTATAAAAGAGGACATGAGGGGAAGGGTTGAGATAGTTAGAAGCATGAGAATCTATGTTCAATCTTCATTGCGACCATTTTTATAATCTTTCTTATCTTTACCCAAAAAAAATAAAAGAGGACATGATACTCTTGAATTAGTAATTGTTATAAAATAGTGGCATTAATGAATAAATATTAATTAGTACCTAAGTCAAAACTGATAAAAAAAAAAGTAACATAATTTAAAATGAGAAAAATGAAAATATAGCGGTAAGTGCTTATATATATTTAAGTATATAAAAAAATTTAAAATTATTATAAAATTATTATTTATTGCAAGTTTATTAACCTTTTACAAATTTACATTAACAACTTTTACAATGACAGTTTATCACCGTTAAAACAAAAACTTAATGCAACATTCAATTTAAAAGGAAAAAAAATAGCATTCTTCTTAGTAATGGAATCTTAAGAAAACATATAGTAAACTGCATTGAATTTATGGTGTTATCTATCCGTGTCATTTCATTCTTTGTATATTACCTAATGTCCCTCGAAATCCCCAACCGTTAAGCATCGATCAGGATTCAGAATCAATGGAGAAGTCAAGAAGGTGTTGCGGAAAATACGCATTGATTAAGAGTTAAAATTTGCATTTACAAGGACATTGTGGTAGCTTAGTTGCTGTTGAAATATGGAACACTGGCTAAATAATCACCGATTTTGACCACAATAATTTGTTGATACGTGAGAGAGGTGGGCAAAGAAGAAAGCTTGAGATTCACATTTCAGATTAGGAACAACCGAACACTAGTGCAAAAATAGGTTATTACGTCACCTAATTTACGTCAGAAAAATGAAAATACGACGTTATAAATACGCGGTGGCATATTTGTAAATAAAAGGTGACTAATTTACGTCGGACGGGGGAGTCCGACGTAAATTATACAATCTACGTCGGAGGGTGTTTATGGTTGACGTAGATTGTATAATTTACGTCGGACCCCACCCTATCCGACGTCCTATCCGACGTAAATTAGTTAATATATGACCCCAATGTCTCACTCTCTTCCCGCGCGCGCCTTGTTTACAAAAACTCTCTAAGTTCAACATTTCACCCTGTTCGTTTGTTTGCACATTCCACGTTTCTCTAAGTCTCTAAGAGTCTGCACATTCCACATTTGAGGTAAGTTTCTTATACGCATTATATTGTTAATTTTTTGTTAGATGTTCATCTGGAACGGCCCGTTCTGCAATTAGAACGGCCTGTTTTGTAACCAAAACGAGCCGTTCTTTTTTAATTTTTTGTTTGTTAATTGTTGATCTGGAACGGGCCGTTTCAAAACCAGAATGGGCCGTTCCAAATAAAAATTAACATAAAAGTTTTGCAGCTGGAACGGACCGTTCTAATTTTAGAACGGGTCGTTCCAGACGCATAAAATTTGTGTTAATTGTGTATCTGAAACGGCCCGTTCTGGTTTCAGAACGGCCCTTTCTGGTTTCAGAACAGGCCGTTCCAGATGCATTAAAGAAAGACTTTTTAGGCATTGACCTTTAGTTTACCATTGTATTATTAGAAATATTTATCGATTTTATCCGAAATTACTATCGATTTTTTAGGGTTGTAGTTTAGGTTAGAAAAATTATGAATAACTGAGTCAATAGTTAATTTGTGTTAATATATAGATAATGAATCGAAGTTGGATGAATGCAAGTCGCATTAGTCAAGAGTACAGAAATGGAGTTGAAGAGTTCTTACAATTTGCAAGAGAAAATGGGAAACCCATCAAAGGGGCATATTATTGTCCATGTGTTCGATGTTTGAATCAGATACGTCAAGAAGTTGGAGAAATACGTGATCACCTGTTTATATATGGTATTGTGAAGAGTTATACAGTATGGACATGGCACGGAGAAATATTAGACATTCCAACAGTGTCAACAACTGAAAATTTTGAAGGGATGGACGATAACTTAGAAGAGATGATACGTGATGTTGGTGAAGAAAATTTTGAAAGAGCACATGTGTATGATACCTTAAAGTCTGATTTTGAGCAACCATTGTACCCAGGATGCAGTATGTTTACAAGATTATCAGCAACTTTAAGATTGTTTAGTTTAAAAGCAAGAAATGGCTGGACTGATAAAAGTTTCACAGAATTGTTGGAGTTGTTGAAGGAGATGCTTCCAGAAGATAACACGTTACCTAATCGCAACTATGAGGCAAAAAAGATACTATGTCCAATGGGTTTGGAGTATAAGAAGATACACGCGTGCCCTAATGATTGCATATTGTATACAAATGATTTTGCTACACTGAAAGTGTGTCCCACATGTGGATTGTCGCGGTTCAAAAAGAAAACTGATGGAAGTAGTGGTGAGGAAGAAATAGAGGGTCCCCCTGCTAAGGTCTTATGGTATTTGCCAATAATACCTAGGTTTAAAAGATTGTTTGCCATTAAAGAGGATGCAAAAAACCTCACATGGCATGAAAATGGTAGAAAATGTGACAATTTTCTTCGACATCCAGCTGATTCTCCGCAATGGAAGAGGATTGATGAAACATTTCCAGAATTTGGTGCAGAGTCAAGAAACTTGAGAATTGGTCTAGCTACAGATGGCATGAATCCTTATGGGAACTTAAGTAGTAAACACAGTTCATGGCCAGTTTTGTTGGTCATTTACAATTTGCCTCCTTGGCTATGCATGAAGAGAAAATATATTATGTTGTCTATGATGATATCAGGACCCCGACAACTAGGAAATGACATAGATGTGTATCTTAGTCCATTGATTGATGACTTGAAAATGTTGTGGAAGATAGGAGTGGAGGTCTTTGATGCATATCGTGAAGAAAAATTTACTTTACGTGTAATGTTATTTTGCACAATAAATGATTTTCCAGCATATGATAATTTGAGTGGGTATAGTGTGAAAGGTCATTATGCATGTCCTATATGTGAAGAAAACACAAGTTATACCCAATTGAAACATGGGCAAAAGACTACGTACACTAAGCATCGTAAGTTTCTTGTTCGTAGTCATCCATACCGTAGATTGAAGAAAGCATTCAATGGATGTCAGGAGGATTAAATTGCCTCGACACCGCGCAATGGTGAAGAAGTATATCAGCGGGTGAAGAACATTAATATTGTGTTCGGAAAGACGTAAAAGAAGTCAACTGAGAGAAATATCTAGAAGAAATGATCAATATTCTTTAATCTTCCTTATTAGTGCAAGCTAGATGTTAGACACTGCATAGATGTGATGCATGTGGAGAAAAATGTTTGTGATAGTGTAATTGGGACATTGCTAAACATCAAAGGAAAGACTAAAGATGGAGTGAAAGCACGACAAGATTTAGTAGACATGGGTATACGTTTTGAGTTACATTTTCAATCTATTGGAAGACGCACTTACTTGCCTCCAGCTTGTCATACTCTATCAAAAAATGAAGAAAAAAAAGCTTTTGTCAGTGTTTACGCAGTGTGAAAGTTCCACAAGGGTACTCCTCAAATCTTAAGAGTCTGGTATCTATGCAAGATTTAAAGTTAATTGGTTTAAAGTCTCACGATTGTCATGTCTTAATACAACAACTTTTGTCTGCGACTATTCGTAACATTTTACCATCTTCTGTTAGAGTTGCTATTACTCGATTGTGTTTATTCTTCAATTCCATTTGCAACAAAGTAATTGACCCTGTAAAGTTAGATGAGTTAGAAAATGAAGCAATCACAATCTTGTGTCAATTGGAAATGTATTTTCCACCTTCATTTTTTGATATCATGGTGCATTTGATAGTTCATTTGGTTAGGGAGATTCGATTGTGTGGCCCGGTTTATCTTAGATGGATGTACCCTGTTGAGAGATACATGAAGATCTTAAAAGGATATGTCAAGAATCAATACCGCCCAGAAGCCTCTATTGTGGAGAGGTACATTGCAGAAGAAGCCATTGAGTTTTGTTCAGGGTACATGTCGAAATCAGAACCAATAGGAATTCCCAAGACTCGACATGATGGGAAACATTTTGGTAAGGGTACTCGAAGTTTAAAGATTAGAACTGTGAGTCGAACAGAAGTTGACCAAGCACATTTGTACATATTGAACAACACTGATGAAGTAATTCCTTACATATCTGAACACATAGATGAAATCAAGATAGCACACCCCCGAATGAATGAGAAATGGGTATTGAATGAACATAACAAGAGTTTCTTAGCTTGGTTTAAGAAAAAGGTTTATGGTGAGGTTAATGTTTTTGATACACTTTTGAGACTCGCTCGTGGGCCTAACAACGATGTGATTACATTTGGTGGATATGACATTAACAAATATTGTTTCTATACAAAGATAAAAGATGACAAAAGTAGAGTACAAAATAGTGGGGTTACAATTCAGGCTAAGGCTTTGTACTTTGCTAGTTCTAAAGATAAAAATTCCATTACAGCATCCATGAGTTATTTCGGAGTCATACAAGACATGAGAAATTGATTATGTTACGTTTAGAGTGTCTGTGTTCAAGTGTAAATGGGTTGATGGCAATACGGGTGGGCGGACAGATGTTTTAGGATTTACTTTGGTTGATTTGAACAAGGTCGGTTATAAGGATGAACATTTTATTATGGCATATCAAGCAAGACAAATTTTTTATGTCAGGGATCCATGTAATGAGAAATGGTCAATGGTCCTTGAAGGAAGAATCATGCATGGAACTCACGAAGATAGGTCTCTAGATATGCATGAGACACCATCTTTCTCAAGCAGATCATTTGGTCCTATTGCAGATAATGAAGTGGACACTCATTGTTATTGTTGGAAATAAAGATTTAGGAAATGCAATTCAATTTGTTAGATCAAACATCAACTTTGATATTTCATTTTTTGAAAAAAAAAATAACTGCAGGATAAGGAGATACATAATTCTCACTTTATTTTGTTTCAGCAATTGTATCCTGTGAGCTGCTCTAAAAAGAATAAGAACATACTAGACCAGCATTGTCGTGTTTTTTGCAGAAGATTACCAGGAAGCAATCATGGATGGTATGTCATCTCAGCCACACTCATACTATTTACTTTATTGTCACTTACCTTAAAATAAAAATGGAAATGTTCAAATGTGTGGAAGAGGAAAAATGATGGCAAATTTGTGTGTGGGTTTCAGTTGATTCGCAGCCAGTGATGGATGAAACAATTCTGGTTGGTGATGATTTAATGACGGGGCCTCCATCACCTGTAGTACCATCAGAAATAGCCTCCCATGTACTCCAAGGTGTTGATTTGTGTGATGGAATTCTCAGGAATCTCTTCCTCTGTAAGTTTCCTTTTTATTAACCTGATGTAATTGTTCTTTTTTTATTAATTCCTTTGATTGCATAAAATTAGAGACCAATTCATACGTGGTACATGTATCACAGAGAAGAAAGAGCGCCTAGGAACCCTATTGGTGAGTGTGCATAAAAATATAAGAAAATAAATATGCATAGGAAAGAGAATAAGAATATTTGTTTATATACTTGTTTTTTGTTAGTTTTATTGTGTGAAAATATTATTTTTAAATTTTAATAATTGAAAATGTATCATAAGATTCACCATTTTAAAAATAAGGCCTCAGAATTATTTTTATTTTCATTTGTTAGCTGTGAGTAGATGCAATGGTATGGATTAAGCAGTTGTTTTGCTTTGTTGTTTTTGTAATTAGAATTAAGTAGGAACATCAGGTCATGAAATTTTTTATGACGTCACATGTAAAAGAAGTGAATAACCACGCTGGTCTTCATAATCAACACCTTGTGGGTATGAACAGACAGGAGAATTTAAAGGATTAACTTCAACAAGGTTCAATCTACTGATAATGACAAATGATTATATTTGTTGTTCGTTTTAATGTTTTAATATTAGATGTCTGTTGCAACATTGTTGTATCTGAATATCTTATAAGCTTATTTAAAATCTTGTAGGCTTGCAAATCAATGACATCGAACCATTTTGTCAGGATGAAATTGCTTTATATAAACAATGTGCTGAAAGAAGGGTGAGACTGTTGTTTTCACACGTCTGTTACAGATTTGGTTATTTGTTCTTTCTTCCTCCATCTCATCCATTTTCCTATTACAATTCATATCTTACCTTCTTTGAATGATCTTTACGTATGTGTAATATTTACTCATTGTTATTGTTGGAAATAAAGATTTAGGAAATGCAATTCAATTTGTTAGATCAAACATCAACTTTGATATTTCATTTTTTGAAAAAAAAAATAACTGCAGGATAAGGAGATACGAAAGCGGCTTCAAGATAGTGAATTCAAATTGGGTTCATCAATGCCTCTGGATGAAGCCAAGGGGAGGGCCTCTCAGCTCGAGGCAGAAGTTACATCGCTGGAGAGGTATATTCAAATAGTCATAAGGTGGTCCATGTTGCATAAAGCAAGCTGATAATAGATCCTTGAAGAATAGTCAATCCACAAAATTTCTGGAGGGTGCCTTCTGTAGACATGATTATCTTTTTTGACTAAACATTTCTTTCTTTTATTTTGAGGAAACTTCAGTAGCATCTTGCTCTTTCAAAATGTGATGATAGAGAAGAATATTTGTTCCTACTATTTTCCATTCGGGATTCAAATGAATATTTTTAAAAAATCAAAATTCAGGACTAAAGTTTTATAAATGCCCTTGGATTGTCTTACAGTTTTCGATATTTCTACTGGCTGACATTATTTTTCTGTGTCACTTTGGCATTCACACACTTTGACAATATCTCTGTGTCTTCAATATCATGTGACACTTGGGTGAGTGAATCTGATGTTATAATTTTCAACCTCTGGACTTCTTATACACCTTCATTTCAAATGTGTAGGCACCTAATTCTTGCTAGTGGAATTGAGGGCATTGAAGGTTTCCGTCAAAGATGGAGCTTGCATGGCCGCCTCACTGATTCCAAGTAAGGTTTATCATCCATAATTGTGTTTTTGTGGAGCGTGACTTGATTTGCAATATTTTTGTGTATCTCATGCTATTCGTGAAAATCTTTGTCATATAATACATTAGTCGTCAATCACATGGACTGGTTTTATTGACTATCTTGTGTGTCTGGTCCATAGGTCCTGGAATTTCAGTTTCTAAATCTCTTTATACTAATTATTGCTATCAACGAGTATCAAGCATTATTATTGAATTATTGAATGGTTTGGACTTGCCCTTACCATAGCTATCCATGTGAACTATAGACAATAGTCTGATTTGATGTGTATACAGTTTACCTGTTTCACGTGGTGTCAGTTTCTATTAATGCCCTTCGTTTTCGACAATTAAATGTTTTATTTTAATTTGGTTTATTGCCGGTACTATGTAACTATTCTTTCCTATTTTTATTTACTTCGTGTAGTTATACTTTGTTAATGTAAATTTAATGCAGAAATAGGTTGCAGTTCTTAAAGCAAGGCATAGATAGCAGGAAAAAGTGATGATTCCATTAGGGAATCAGCTACCAAAATTTGACTCTTGAGGTGAAGTTGAATCAGCATTAGGGTCGAACCATATTATGTCTGTTCATTGATAATTTATTTTAAAATATTAAATATTAATTTATAAATAATTATAATAAATAAAAATTAAATAAAATAAGAAGTTAATTTTTTTTTACAAATCTTCTCATTTCATACTGATATATACTAAGATATATATATATATATATATATATAGATAGATAGGTACCACTACCACTGGGTTCCTTGCAAAAAGTCTATCTTTCTCTCTCTTCCTTGCTTATTGTGATATATACTAAGATATACTGATATATGCTAAGATACTGTCTCTCTCTCTTCCTTGCTTATTGTGCTCATACTGATATATACTAAGATTTAAGTCCTTGAATGAATTTTGTATTTTTTTTTTAATTTTTTGTATTTTTTTAGTTGTAAATTATAATAGCAAAAAGAATACGCAAAATCGCTCAATACGATAGTTTCTCTATAAAAAAAACAACACAAATTACGTTGTGCGGAATGTACTTTTAAAAAAAAAAAAAAAATCCATTGCATTTTTTGTCCAACGTATCTTTGTCAATTCATAAATTTGTTTTGTTAAAATAAAGACATTTTTTCTCCTAATTTTAAATTATAAAATTTTAGTTCTACCATCACCAATTTTATCAATTTTCAATAATGATTAGAAAATACAAACAATACTTATAATATTATATAGTATTATGTAAGTTATTTCCATTAAATGACTCCTAAAACATCTCTTACTTGCAGGGACAGAAATAGGTGTAGTTGCCCTTCCTAAAAACTGAAAGATTGCTAGCATCCCACACTTTAAAGATAAAATTCACTCCTTTTAATATTTAAATTTAAATGACCAAGTTCTCTTGTTGGTAGCTTGTAGAATATCTCACCAATTGGATAGCTTGTATATCTCACCGATTGGAGGGATGAGAGCATTTTAAAGAATTAACCCTTATATAATAAATACAAATCTTTATGAGAATATTGTTAAGATTTTTTTTTAGATAAAAAGGATTTTTAGGCATAATCTTATTTAATTTAATTTTGTTATCATAATTATTTATGAATTTTAAAAAATAAAATATCAATAAATAAAAATACTATTATGTTATAATATAAATTATTTATTATTAAAATTATATCTGTATGATAACCGAGATTCAAAACTCACATTCGAACTTCCAAACGATTCTCTCAGCAAAATAAAATAGATATTCAGTATCCAAGTGCATATATCCTTGTAGATGTCATTTTTGCCTCAAGGTTGTTGCCCCAAGTTATATTACAATCAGTGTACTATATTATATATCTATATTATGTCACAGTACTCCTGAAGAAATAATGCTGATAAATATACAGAAAACCATTTTAATCCTATCCTTGATGTAGATTATGGCATCAACGTTGGTGCCCACCTTGTTGGCACAGGTAGCTAGTGATTAATTACGATTGAGTGGAAACGATGCTACGTTAGTATCATAAATACACACACTTATATATCGTGAGAGATATAGCCATGTCCATGGAATATCTTGAATAAAATTTCTGATAATTTCTTTATTGCCATGACATGCAGCTTATGTATGTGGAGAGAGAGGAGGAATCATACTAGAGGATCCATATCACTATGGTGTGTCACTGAATGGAGTGCCAGGACTAGACATTGATATGGAAAAGAAAAGGGTGGATGAGAAATTGAATGAGCTTAGAAAAGAGGGAGCCACAGAACATGCTATTGGATTGGCCATGAAGGACTTGGGTAGTAAAAGGTATTTGTTCTGATTATCCTTTTGTATTATCCTTTTCAAAACTTGAATACGTGTTTGGTCGTTTCTTGACTAATTAATAGAGCAAAGATGTATGGATGGCCAAACACATACGTTTTTACAAAGGCAATGGGAGAAATGGTTGTAGGAACCACAAAGGGAAACGTTAATGTTGTAATTGTACGTCCCACAATCATCACTAGCACTTACAAAGAACCTTTCCCTGGTTGGATTGAAGGTTTAAGGTAAATCATCAAATCTTATTCTGTCGCTTTTTAGTTTGCTTTCCAAGAAATTATTTGATATTCAAAAATGGAAACACATTACCCATATTTTTCTAATCTGATCGTGAGTTTTTTATACAGAACCATAGACAGCATAATAGTTGCTTATGGTAAAGGAAAATTAACCTCTTTCCTTCTGGATCTCAAGGCAATTTTTGATGTGGTAAGTCATAAAAAATTAACCCTTTTGTTTTCTTTTAATTGAGCATTTCCTCTTCATTCTTTTCGAAAAGTGAATACATATATATGTTAATGCTGATGAATTTGAAACAGATACCAGCTGACATGGTAGTGAATGCAATGATAGTGGCAATGGTAGCTCATGCAAAAGAACCTAGTCTTGGTGATATCATATATCATGTGGGTTCCTCTGCTATAAATTCAGTTAGGTACCTTAATCTTCGAGACTATAGCTTAAAATATTTCACAGAAAAACCTTGGATAAACAAGGATGGAAAGCCCGTGAAGGTTGGCAAAGTTAACATACTGAGCAACATGGCTAGCTTCCGCAGATATATGTACATTCGTTACCTGCTTCCCTTAAAGGTTACTTCAGATACTTAATTTCTATAATTCACATACCTTCTAAGTTCTAATTTTCTTGCAATCACAAATCATGTGGATATATTTCTTGAGCTTAAAAATTTTTGAACTCACCAATCTGCTTAATATTGTTTGCATTTAATAGGGACTAGAGGTGGTGAATGCCGCTTCATGCCATTATTTTGAGGAAATGTGTGTTGACTTCAATAGGAAGATACGTACTGTGATGCGATTGGTTGAAATTTACAAGCCTTACTTGTTCTTCAATGGACTGTAAGTTAATTATTATATATAGCAGCAAATAAGTAAGATATTTTTTAATTACTAATATTAATTAGCTGAGAGTGCTTGTTTTGGACAGATTTGATAATACGAATTCAAAAAAGTTATTATCAATGGCAAGACAAGGTGGGGCAGCAGAGACGGAAATGTTTCAGTTTGACCCAAAAATAATTGATTGGGAGGACTATTTCATGAATGTCCATTTTCCTGGTATCCTCAACTATGTCTTCAAGTGATACGTAATTACGTACTTTGTGGCCATTTTAGCATTCTCTCATATGAAGCTTGAATTTGTTGCATGTAACGTTTGGTTGAATTTTACCTTATAGCTGTAACGTTTGCTTTATGGAGTAAAATTATTTTGCATTTTGCATTTTATTTGTACTTTAGGTAATTTATTACGAAGAAATAGTTATTTGTGAAATCAAAATTCAAACTCGAACTGGAACTTGTCGGCTTCGTCGTTTGTATTTTCTGCTGAAGGATTCTATTTTTTCATATAAAAAGGAGAAATTAAAACATATAACATTCCACACATGATGATGGGTTCCATAATTCCTTTAGAAGGTTGGTGTTCACTGTTCAGATTGACATGATTAAATAAAAACCAGAAATAGTTATTCGTTAGAACTTTATTCGATTAATTGGCCAAAAATCAAGAATAACGTGAGCCTTCACAAAGTACAGGTCATGCAAGAACCAAAACTGGATAAACAAGACTCTTGTAATTTCTTTATTTTTGTTTACCAAAGATGTCGGTGCTAAGTATTCATCTTCAGTGTTGTGGATAACTAATGTATGATACAATTGGTTTGTTATCCTCTCAATAACAATACTTAAATCTTTGATACCGAATCCAATTTTACAAGAATATAATTTTATCACTATCAGAACATTAATGTTATATAATAACTAAAAATATTGAAATTTAAATTTAAATAGAAAGATGAAAAAGATAAATTAATAAACAAGAGATTAAAAAATTAAAATACTTTCATTAAATAAAACATCTCAAAAAATGCTTTTCATTGGATTATAACTTCTAAAAAAACCTTATTTAAATGATTATTCTAAAAAAGTCTTATTTAAATAACTATTTCAATATAAACTAGGGATGGAAATAGATAGAATGTACACATTTTTAAATTTTAATATTGATGGATGAAAAAGAAATTAGTATAATAATATGATGTCTTAAGTTTAAAATGTGTATATTTTTTTAATAAAAATATTACTATATTTATATACTTTTATGAATTAAAAAATAGAATCAAACTTTTAGTGGCATTTCGGCAAAAAAAAATTATGATGAATACGGTAATGTGGCAAAATAGAGTCAAGCATGTGTGGCAAAACATTTAATAGACTAATTGATTGATTTAATCAGAATATATACTTATTATAATCATCTTAGTCACCATATTTATATAATTTATGAATTATAAAATACTTTTTTGACAATAATAAAATAAAATAAATTTCTTAGTGACATTTTGAAGAAGAAGAAAAATAATGAATATGATGATGTTACGTGACATTTGTTTATATGTCAAAACCTTTTTTATATAATCTAATTGATAAAAGGGTTTATAATGAATAATTATTTTTAAATATACAAATTAATTATCATAATTAAAATTTGATATAAGTATATTGATCATACAAATTATAATATTTATGATAAATAATTAAATTGTGATATAATATGATTTTTAATTATTGATAATTTTTTTTAAAATATTAATATTTAATGTTGAAATAAAAAATATATAATTAAAAGATATAAAATATTAAAAAATTCATAAAAATGAACCATTAAATAAAAATATTTAAAGACTATCATTGAAGTGTCGAATTTTTAGTCACGTCGTTTATTAACGTAAATATCAATATTTAGTTTTATCTATAATGTACATTGTCCAAACCATAACATTCCCACTAAATTATGTTTTAATAATATATATATATAAGTTTAAATGATTATTTAAAGTTAATCTGGATGATGACTTCTATAAGAAAAAATAGGCCTCTAGACCCAATAATAAAGTTAATTTTTTTAAAATTTACTATACACATTAATCAAATATTCTCACATTTTCATATGACCTAAAAAGATATAAAGACAAAAGAGAGATAAGAGAACAAGAACAAAATTGTATAGCATAGGATTACCTTTGAAACTCACAACTTTAGACTAATGCAACCATTTCGCATGTCTCCCCTTCCTATAACTGTTTGATGGTTGTATTGTCATCCTTAATATAAACTTTCATTCTTTAAATATAATTGTATTTTTTTTTAAGTATTTGATACAATCATATACTAGTACTCAAATTTCAGACATATTGAGGTGAAACAACTTTCCTAAATTGATCCACATATTCAATATTATTAAAGATTTGTATGTGATTCAGTTTCTAATTAATATTTGATTTTAAAAAAAACATTTTTATGTTACTTATCATTTAACCTTTCATCTAAAATCTATCAAACCTTGAAAATTTAGTAAAAAATGTTTCCCATTTTTTTCACTGAAAGATGGCAACGAAAGAGGGAATGAATTAGGTTTGAGGGTCTGCTGCGTTGAATACTCTCAGAAGTCACAACTGATAGATTACATGAAAAGATAATGGTTTCCAAGAAAAATAGACACTCTACCCATTTTTCCTCTGATCTCCAGCCATCGAATTTCTATCGGTTAGTATGTATTACATTATTTTATAGGAATCTGTCACTAAAATAAAAAGTTATACCTCCTTAATTTTATTTTATTTTTTTAAAATAGTCTTCTTCTGTTCAAAAATCTGTTTATGCAGTGCTGAGAGTTTGGTGACAAAATGGTAAGAGATAGGAATAGGATAGATGTGCATTTCGCCGGTTACTCTCATATTAAATTAGTTTTTTATATTAGAAATTATAATTAAATGTTTTAATTTAAAACAGCATAGAAAAAATAGGAGTATTTAATTTTGGGTATATATAGTTGTATAAATATTTCTTATTTTATTTAGAATCTTTATAAAATTGTATGAGAAACTTATTCTTAAAATTCAAAATAATTTAACTTATGTTAAAGTTAATATCTTGTAATTTTAAAATGTGAAGTAATAAATATATCTAATTATTTTATATCTATATTATAAATAAAAATTATTATATTTATAATGTTTTATAATTTATAAACAATATTTTGCACAATTCTTATAGATCAAAGAAAGATATTAAAAGTAGGAATAATAAAATGAGTTATTTCGTCTCACCTTAGTAGGTCAATTTACACCATTCTATTTAGTAAAGCGAATCAAAAACTTCAATTCACTCGTTTAAGAATTAAAAATGTTTTTATATATAATATTAATGAAAATTAAATAAATAAACTTAATTTTTGAATAATTAATTTAGACAATATATATATATAGTACCAAACATGAGTTTAAAAAGATCAAAACTAATACTAGTATACTATTTTATTTAAATCTTATAATACTAAAAAAAAAATACACAAAATTTAAGAAATAAAAAATAAAATAAATAAAATAAATAAAATTAAATTAAAAAAAAAAAAGTTGACGATATAATCCTCTCCAACTCATTTTAATTGGTTAGATGTGGCAGGTTAAAGCCAGTCAACGGGGTTGATAAAATAAACCCACCCATCCTCATCAAGTTGAGTTATGCAGGTTGATAAAAAAAAACTCTTTAATAATTTTAAAGACTCAAATAATTTTCTATGCTTTTTTATAACAAAAACCTTTTATGTTTAAAAGTAAAAAATATCTATACTCATACATGTATGAATACTAAATCTAGATATTAATATAATGACATGTTTATTTATGTTTTTATTTTGTATCCCTATATTTGAAACCAATTAAAGTATATTAAAATTGAATGATCAGTTAAATGAACTTTTTTGCACTTTTGCATTCTGCGTTAGAGAATTGCGTACCCTCTGATTCCAAAATTGATCAGAGTAAATTATTCCAATTAATTGGACATAGGCGAATCATGTGTCGATTATCTATATGGACTTATCTAAAACAAATGGTTTAGCATTATAATTAAATATATTTATGAAAACTAGGTACAGATGTAATTATGCTATGATTTTTAGAAAATATCTCTTAAGTGTTCAAAATTTTAATACATCCAAGTACAAGTATATATATAACTCCTCCTAGGACTAAGATGAGAGAGATTATTCCTAAATGTTCAGAAATTTGATAACTACTGAAATTTTTTTAGAGAGGTTCTTAGAATTATTTAGGATCACTTCACTATGTTATATTTTATAGAAAAACTTTCTCGAGTAATTAAGTATATAAGTTAGCTTATAAGTTAACTAAACTTATAAGCAAATTTAAAAGTTAGTGAGAAAATATTTAATTTATAAGAAAAGAACAATCATAGTTTCTTTTTTCCATGTTTAGTCGTTTAAGTAAAGTTTATGATCACGCTAAAAAATATAGAAAAGTTTACTTAAGAAAGTAGGAATTGGGGTAATCTCACGAGAAAGGTCTCTTTCCCATGTTGTCCTATCACCCTATGTCAAATGGAAAAGGCAACAGGTGAAACACGTTTTCTTCACATCAATATCATATCAAGGGAAAAACTATTCAAATATTTTAAATAGCAGAGAAAATAATCATATACTTATAATTTTTTATTTTTTAAATAAAAATATATATTATAATTATTTTTTACGAGATTTTATAATAGAATATTTTTTTATTTTTAATATCTTCGAATAAAAATTCCTTTATATTAGTAACTAAATAATTATTTAATCTTTCATTTCTCATATAAAAATTATCTTTTTAAAAAAATATAATATAGATTTGAAATTGATTAAGTTTACATAACTTAATTATAATTAACATGATACACACATATGTTAGGAAGAAAATATTCACCTTGTGTGTGTTCGTAGTCCTTTATCAGGGATTAGACACTACTTTTAATGGTGAATGCTTCGAATCAATATTATAGTTATAAAAAAAATAATATATACACACACATATATATATAAGAAGGAATCCACTTACTCCAAGAATAAGTCTACCTAGTCTTATTTCACTCAATAATTCATGTTTTACATTAAATTTCAACAATCCAAATGTTAAGTTAAAAGTTCTTAATGAATAGGTCAAGTCTACAAATTTTTAAGAAATTTGAAAACTATTTGATACTTTATTTCATTATTTCAAATCGACATATAAAATACTTTTATGATTATCTATTAATTTAAATTGATAAAACAAGTATCAAAAAGTTTTCAAATTTTTTTAAAAATTTGCAGACTTGATCTATGCATTAAGAACTTTTAATTTAACAATTGGATCATTAATATTTGATGTAGAACAAAAGTTATTGAGTGGAGTAAATCTATGTAAACTTACTCTTCAAGTAAGTAGACCCTTCATCTCTATCTATCTATCTATTTA